TCTGTGTCTCTGGTAGCAGATCATCTGGCCATTTAGCTGGGGGAACAGTGGGGAATTGTTGAGGTGGAGTGGGGCTGAGTAGAGACCTGGCCCACAGCTGTGTGTGGTCTATGTAGGTGGAAACTGCTCCCTGTACAAACACAGGCTGCAGGTTCCAAAAGAGCAACAGAGAAATAGGATCTAGCCAGTTACATCCTTCTTTAACACAGGACTAACCTGGTCTTCAAAATGTCATCACTTTAGTGATTCAAAAATCTAGAGGTAAAATAATTTYTATTTCTAAAGCYAAAAGAATWAATGCATACTCYATGGRAGGCACTSTGTGYAARTATCAACCATAAAKTGTCTGAACCACACAGCTGCTACAAATAAGGATCTGAAGTGCCTCACGATTCATCTTGACCCAGGTTACTCTGCTAATTAGTGATGAAGCTCATGTCTTTTTAATATCAGGACAATGAGAATATTTGCCAGTGGCCTTCAGTTTGTGGCTCTAGTTATCAAATCCCCCCCCCAAGTAGTATTTTTTCTCTAAGAAAACCTCATCATAGAAGGGGGTAGGTCGGAGCTGAGGTTGTGGCTCAGTGGTAGAGTGCTCATCTGGCGTGCATGAGGCACTGGGTTTGATCCTCAGCCCCACATAAAAATAAAATAAAGATATTGTGTCCACCTAAAACTAAAAATAAAATAAAATAAGAAGGGGAGAGGTCACATTTTCTATGAAATATACATGTTGAGCCTTCTTTCATCTGTTACAACAATATCTGAAACTGGATAATTATTATGAAGAATTAAGGTTTATTTAGAGTACAAATTTAAGGTGGGTCAGTCTAATCCCAACATGCTGGCATTTATAAGGACCTTCTTGGTCTTCATAACATGGCAGAAGGCATCAGATGGTGAGCCAGAGCAAGTGAACTCTCTCAGATCTCTTTTCTCTTCTAATAAAGCCACTACTGCCACTATGGGGGCCCCACCTTCATGCCCTCATCTAATCCTAATTATTTCCCAAAAACCCCACCTCCAAGTGCCATTAACATATGAATCTGGGTATTAAGTTTCCAACATCTGAACTTTCAGGGGACATAGTCAAATCAATTTGACACTCAAGCCTATCTAGAAGAAATTAGAAAAGAGACTTAGAGAGGGAAGCTGCATGGTAAAAAGGGTTGTCAGTTCAAGAGGCATTTCCAGCATTGTTATGGTGTCTCTGATGGAGAGAGGAGGCAGAGAGGAGACCTAATATTAAATCTGCAATATTATTGGGGTCACCACTGACCCATAACTAACTCTGTTCCCCCATCCCCAGGTCCTGCCAATTGTGGTTTTCTTCAGCACTGTGACGTCCATGTTCTACTACATGGGATTGATGCAGTGGATCATCAGAAAGGTACTGGGATTGGGACATACAAGGTGACAGGTGAAGAGTTGATTATTTCAGGTACAAAGTCTTAAATGCCTTTTATCCAGGCATTTCCAAAGTGCCTTTCTCTTCCTACAAATATTCACCTCCATTACCAAAGTTATTACATTGAAACGCCAAATCCTGCATGTGCCCATACTGGGAATTTTATCTCAGGGTCTTCTAATAGGGCTTTGATTTACAACCCACTGGATAACTCCATGAAACCATAGCAGTTACGTCTTTAACCAAGCAATTGAGGTCAAATACCTGCCACAGGGAAGTGGTGTTGAACCCTCCTCACAGTTACCTACACTAGGCCTCATACATACTGACAACTTGTCTTTAGAAAGTTACCAAAGTAGGTACGCCTCGTCTTAGAGTTGCTAGAGAAATTAAAGCAAGAAAGCGAAGTGTTTTTCACTCTGGGGGTGGGGGAGTTTTATAAGCACACTTTTTTTGTTTTAAGTAAGAGTTAATCTCATTCTTGCTGCTCCAGCAATTGAGTTGTACTCTCATGTCAGATCAGAAAACTATCTATTTGTAAGCTAGTTTGGATGCACATGGAAGCAGACCAGTGCACACAGGGCTTGAGGGACAACCACAGCCTTCTTTTGATTCCTGTAAATAAATCAAAATATACAACCAGAAAGAGAAAAGATAGGAGAAAGAGAGAAAGAAAGAATAAGAATACCAGCAGAGTTTGCAATCACAGTGAGCTCCAGTACTGATAATATCCTGATTATTGGTTTATATATTCAGAATTACTGCACTCACATTTAGAATCCAAATTTTTAAAATTCTGGTAATAATATTATTTGATGATAATATGTTTCTGCTTAGAATCTTTGGAAAATGCACAGGAATAACTGCTTTTTTAAAAGGAGAAAAAAAGGGATAGGGATGCAGCTCAATGGTAGAAGCCCTGCTTAGCATCACAAGGCCATGAGTTCAATCACCAGAACCAAAATAAAGCAATTTTTAAAAATAAGAAGAAAGTATATAGTGCTTGTGTGAAATAATCTCACAGAGAAAGAGAGAGAAAGCCTTAAAAACAAATACAAATATGTTAAAAAATGATCATAAACATCTTTATTGTATCATAAATGCATGTAGATAATGTTATATATAACTGTCAATGAAATTATACATCATTTTACATCTTGCTTTTCAACCACTATTCAATGTAGCCATTTTCCCATGCTAATAAATAATATCTGAAAGTAAATGTTTTTTAAAAAAGAATTACCATACTCATACAGGTAAGTGGAAAGAAAGGAAATAGAATTCAACAAGAAGTCTGCATCCTGAGATAGATATCATGGTCACTGGTTTAAAGGTTTATTAGTCACCTTTCCATTACTATGATAAATATCTGAGATAATCAACTTCTATAGAAGAGAAGTTTATTTAGGCTCACAGTTTGGGAGGTTTTGGTCCATGATTGATTTGCCTTGCTGCGTTGGGGCAGGGAATGCTTGCTCACCTGGTGACCAGAATGTGAAAAGGGAAAGGAATTGACTGAGATTCCACAATGTCTCCCAATGGCAGTGACCTAAGATCTCCCGCCAGGCATGGCCTTTTAAAGTTTTCACCACCAGTTGATAGTGATACAGTCTGGAGACTAAGCCTTTAACACATGGGGCTCTGGGGGACATCTCAGATTCAAATTATCACAGTAGGATCCATAAACCACTTTCACTTGAATTAATCAGAAAAAGCCAAACTTCAACTACATCTCACTATTTAATAGTTGACAAAACCACTTTATTACTTTTATAAAATGTATCTGTAGAAATTATTTGTCTAATGTTCAAAAGTCTATATAATGACTCAGACTTACCACCCTTACAGGAGGATTTGATCAGCCTGCTCTATGGGCTAGATCACCAACCATCACCAACCAGTCCATGATTATTGAAGGCCTCGATATTTTACTCCAGTTCAAAAACGTTACCCCACTCTGAAGTTTATTATATAGACATAGTTCATCACTGACTTTGTCCCTTTCTTCCTTTTAGATCGGATGGATAATGCTTGTTACTATGGGCTCATCTCCTATTGAGTCTGTAGTTGCTGCTGGCAATATATTTGTTGGACATGTAAGTTGCAATACCAAGAAAGCAAGCAATACAAGACATCTGCTAAATGGATAGTCTCTTTCTGAAACACACAATAGGAAAATACCATGGTATTGTCATTTCTTTTAGTGTGGAGAAAAAGATGTAAATAAGGAACCCTTAATTTTGGCAATGTCCAGATTCCAGAAAGAGAGAAAGAAAGGTGCCTCCCAAGTGTTTAGATACACTGGTGTGGAATTGGGTTCCTGTAAGTTGTGAAGAAAAGTCGAGATATTTTATTAAAGCATAGGGCTTCTCATATACAAATTCTCTCTACAGTCTTTTCTGAGTTCATTGAATTGTTGAGGTTTCTGGTTGACTCTTCAGAAACAAGCAGCTCATCTCCTCAAATGGATTCCACTGTCTTAAAGCTGTAAACATGTAAGAGACAGCCTTGTATTCTACACTGCAATGCCCGTGGCAGTAAAGAAAACCAACAAAGGCCTTTTGCCAACAACCATGCAGCTGTATAAATAATTCTCATTCTCAACTTGTCCAAACTGGCCAACATTCTGTCTTTGCTGAGCATGAGTATAAAATGCCTTTATGTTTTTTTTCTTCTCATTAAAGATATACTTTTGGGCTACAAATTTCACTTCCTTGATTCATCACAGGGATAAATGCTCTTTTGCCTGAAATCCATTTAAGCAAAGAAATATGATGCCAAGGATGTCCCTCAAAATAGCAGTATTCCTAAGAGATGGAAAAGTGAGGAATGGTAATAAGCTACTCATCACTCAGGATATATAGCTTCAGGGAAAATGGAATAATGCACCAACGAAGCCAAGGGTGAATATTGGCCAGAACCACTGCCCAGAAAAATGGAGTCACCCAGTGAAACACAGCTCCAAATGCCAGGCTTCCTACTGCTCCAATTCCTCCAGGAAGACTGAGCCTTCTTGGTAAGCCCAGCTCACCAGCCTGGAGCTCTTTAATGGATATAGATGAAACATATTTCCTTCCCCTATAAGTTGAAATTAGAATAATTACAGTCATAAAATCTCTCAGGACTAATTAGGGCACCATCTTGAGTTGATTGCTACTACCTGCAGGATAAGAAGGCTCACATATTTGGACTCATATTTAGTCTATAAACTGAGGCTCAATGCATTCAGTCTTATATAACAATTAGAAATAATGAGGAGAAAATTGCACCCATGCTCCTGTAGTACTTAATTTGATACTTAATATGCTGAAAACACAGCTATTATTGATGGAGAGCCTTACAGGGCAGGCAGGCTGCCCTCCTTAATGAGATTTGAGTCTTTATAACTACACTCTGTCCAGTGCCTTTCTACCCATCAGAGAGGGATCCTCTGAGTTTCAATTACAAAAATGCCTAAGGGTATCTTCTTTGTAATTGCTGGTATTTTTTTAATACACCTGTCTCTTATTTTCCTGAAGTCTTTAGAAACAAGTCAAGACTGTCTAGATCAAGCTAAATGGTGAAAAGTCACAGCCCACAAGAAATCCCCAGTCCACGAGCCAGACCACTAGGCAGTTACCTGGCCAGCCCTTAATCCTCATAGAATCCAGACTAGGCTAGATGGAGGCACCCTATAACTAGCTTCACAAATGTCAGGGTTTACCCATGACCATATATGACAATGACCTAGAGCTCAGATGACCCAGACATTCTCAAACTTGAACAAGTCTCATAATTACTTGGAAGACTTATAAAAACACAAATTGCTGGCCCTACCCCCAGAGTTTCTGATTCCATAAGTCAAAGAATTTGAATTTCTAACAATTCCCAAGTGATGCTGATGGAGTTGGTTCAAGGCTGACTCTTAGAAATTTAGGTAATGAAATGTTGTGCTGATTACACTCCTCCTCTAAGATTTTAAAGGTCACATTTAATCCAATTATCCTTCTCTTTCTTCAGACAGACTCTCCACTGCTGGTCCGACCATATTTACCATATATCACCAGGTCAGAACTCCATGCCATCATGACTGCTGGCTTCGCTACAATTGCTGGAAGTGTCTTGGGTGCATACATTTCTTTTGGAGTAAGACTGTTTTGGAATTAACTTATGCAAATTTCAACCTCTTCTTTCTTTGCTATTGTTATTTATTTGTTTTTTCCTTCCTTTTTTCTTTTCTTTTTTCTTTCCCACTGCCAGTATAAAAGGAAGCCAAGAGAGTGCCTTTTTTGTAGTATGGCAAAAGTTGGTCAGTTTTTTTTGGCATTTGAATATAGTGACCCAAGGAGATTGGGGTATTCACTTTCATGTTCTTGCCTCCTAAATGTGAATTATTTCCAACCACAGCAGTAGAAATCATATGATGAGGTTACTTTGACTGGAAGTTTAAATCTGTTTTTTAAAAAAATTAAAAACTATTACTACTACTAGTAAAGATTTTAACAGGGGTCAGCAAACTATGGACCACTGGCCAAATCCAGAGCATAACTTATTTTTATAAATAAAGTTTTATTAGAAACCAGGTACTCCTATTTATTTGTCTTTGGCATAGTTGTGGCCTGCAAAACCACAATTATCTACTCTATGACCTTTTCAAAACAGATTTTTGGAACCTTGACCTACAGCAGTTGTTCTCAAACCTTACTGCACATTAGAATCACCTATAAATTTTCAAAGACCCTAATTCCCAGGCCCATAGCCCTGGCTAACTAAACAAAATTTGTTGGAGTGAGGCCTAGCCATCAGTATTTTTAAAACTTCTCAGATTTCAACTGAAAGCCACGTTTGAGCTGGTGGCCTATGGTGTAGGTCTGGAGAATGCTATGATAGCCAATATATATACTCTGTGCATAGGCTGATAAGCCACACATTGACATAGACCTTGGCAGAGAAACCTAATCGTATAGGCAATACTCTGTGATTCGGGTGACTAGGATCTCTTGCAAGACAAGTGAGTTTCATTCCAGATACTTCATTCAAGCTGGGAACAGCCAACTAGTAGAAAGAAGGAAGAAGAAAAAAGTGAAGGATCTATTGGAGATAAGCAGTATGAATGGATCCCTAGATTATTCACTCTGCCCCTATTGTGGAAATGCTGCCTTTATTCCCTAAAGACCTAATAAGAGCATGCTACAGGGACACTGCTACATCGATGTTCATAGCAGCTCAATTCACGATAGCAAGA